CGGATGGACCCCTGTAATATTAGGAAAATAATACAATTACTTACATGTACAGTAGATAATACACTTACTACACACAACCTGCATGGTGCAAATACTGCCCAATAATTGCCTGAAATAACTCTGAAATATAAAGCTAAATGCTTACCACTTTTCCCCTTCCCCACTGAGGTTACGATTACATCTGTGAGATGACTACATTCTTCATGTATGGTGTGACAGGATATTTTTTTCTTACATTTTAGTGTGCTTTAATTCCTCTGCATGGTCCCCATATTTTCTATTAAGTAATGCAACAGATGGGGAGACTCTTCCAAGTAAACCTCACGAATAGGCAATTAGAAAGTTGGATATGCTGAAATGAACATGGAGATCCTTGGGGTTCAGCTCAACCAAGTGGGAGCACTGATCTCTTCATGTAACTCTGCATCCAGCTGTCAGAAGGACCTTCTAGGGTCTAATGTGTTGTGGGAGCTGATGCTCATAGTGGTGAACATCAGCTCATCGCTAATGTTCACCACTATGACTGGAACCAGTCCTCGTTTGGCTGTTGCGTATGTGTCAGCAACTGCTATTCCCCTTGGTAGGTTAGACTCCCCGTGGATGGCCTGGACTGCCACCACTTGTGTATCTACCTGTCTAGTGATGCAGGTGACAATCCGTGCAGTGTGAGCAGGTATGCACAGTGGTTCCCGGCCTCCAACCTTAGCGAATGATGCCTTGGCCTTATGTTGCTCCTCGAGGTCATATGTAAACAATGCACCAGCCCACTGCATTTCTCCCATCTCTTCAACTTTCTTCCTGTAGTGCCTCCGATCCCATGCTGCTCCTTCATGGCTGTGTCTAGCTCCCACAACACATTAGACCCTAGAAGGTTCTTCTGACAGCTGAATGCAGAGTTACATGAAGAGATCAGTGCTCCCACTTGGTTGAGCTGAACCCCAAGGATCTCCATGTTCATTTCAGCATATCCAACATAGGGAATTTCAAGGCCATTGGCCCCATAGACTGGCAACCATCTCCACACATCCTTTCGTATGGGCACACAAGCTTTCAGATGTTGGAAGAGGGTGTCCAGCAGAACAGTCACTTCACTTCCAGTATCCAAGATGAAGGGAATCTCCTTGCCATATACTAATATAGGGACTTCTGGACTGCTGGTGACTGCTCTGTCAAACACCTCCTGTCTCATTATACTTGTTGAGCCATCATTACCCTCCACCATTTGGCTCCTTACGATAGAGGGCTGGCATTTGGGGACTTCTTACTGATCTTTGGAGATGGATCCTGGGTGGCGGGCATGAAGGTTGTTGCACTGGTGGCTGGTGTAAAGGGAGCTGCTTCCACCCAGTCACTATGGGGTGTCGATGTCTGGCCACTGCTGGTTGGTCGATGGCCCTGTCCAGTTGGTCTTGGGTTGCATCCTCTTCCACTGGGGCAAACTCGTTTCACATGGCCCAACCCGCCGCATGAATAGCATGTCAGGCCACTGAATTTCTGCATGGCTCCCATGGATGGAACTGGCTGAGGGCCTTGTAGCACATGAGCCAACTGCTGGCAGAGCTTAACCACAGCTGCCTGGGTTGCTTGAAGCTGTTCTGCCTGTTGGTCCAGACGCTGGTGAAGTTGTCGATAGTCCGAACTTACACGAGCAGACACAGCCCCTGACACGGGCAGAGATGAGGTGTGGCAAAGTTCACGTCCTGGTGTTCCTGGACATACCCCCATACATCTCGTTGCAGTGAGTGATCAGCCAGGCCAGTAGTGAACCTCTCACACAAGATGGTGTCTTTGTTCTGCATCTGGGGACAGTCCTTGGGTGATGCCAGCTCTACCCGGCGGGGAGTTTCATGAGCTGCAGCAAATAATCTTGCAAAGATTCTCCCTGGCGCTGTTGTCTCCTGTAGAAGTCACTCCATATAGCCGATGGTGTCTCATGGCAAGCGTATGTTGTCAAAATCCAGTTAATGACATCCTCTGCCCTCGTTTGCATTTCTGGGAGGCAAAGCCTGACTTCATCTTGGGCATGTCCAGTTAGGTGGTCAAGAACAAGCTGAACACCCTTAGCACCAGTGAGGTCCTTTGTGAGCCTCCGCATGTCCTCTGCCCATTCAACAACTTCAGGGTTTCTCTCTGAACTGGGCCGTCCCGAAAGCTTGGTAGCCCTGTCCCTTGGCACCACAACAATCTTGGTAGCTTTCCCATTGCTCTCCACTTCCTCCAACTTTGATGTGAGGGCCTTGAGCTGTGATTGCAGCTCCTCCATTCTGCAACTGCTACTGCACCAACCTTTTTTTCTGAGAAAAAACCACCTGATCCTGTCTACGACGCTTTTGTGATGGCAAAATGTTCTTTTCTAGTGGCTACAATAAGTTTTTATTTACTCAGAATTTATAACTTAAAAAAAAGGTTGGTACAGTAGCTACACGGAAACAGAGAAAAAAAAGAAGAAAAATCTGAAGTAAATTCTAAAATCGAATCAAAATGATGCACGTAATCGGTAGGCGAACTGCTATTACTCTGTAACGAAAACATAATATAGTTTCCCCAAAGTCATAACAGTGTCCCTCATTGGGTACAGTTCTGGCAGATGAAAATGCAAAATCCTCAAACTTAATCTCCTTAACTACATGAGCTACATGTAGGCCTCTATCTTTACATCACACAAGATCTATAGTACCTGGCTCAGTTGCCTCTCCCTAAATAAACAATTCACTAGCCACTGCTGCACTGTCCAACACTGCAGTAGAAAA